ACATCTTTTTATAATCCTAAACAATTTGTTTAGAATTTGTAAAAATCTCAATCTGAGTGTTTGAGCAAAGAAGTCTTAGGCTGAGTGTTTGAGCAATAAAGTCTTGAACAGTTGGTTTAGGAAAGGAAGTATCTTTATAGTTTAATTGAGCAAATAAGTCCTAAACAATTAGTTTAGGCAAGGAAGTCTCTTTCAGGTTGATTGAGCAAATAAGTCGTGGACATTTGGTTTGGGCAAGAAGTCTCTTTCTAGTGAGATTGAGCAAGAAGTCTTAGACTAGTGTGTCTAAGCAAATTGTAATCAGGTTCTGATTATAGTAAAAATATATTTTGTGGCAAGGGGACAAGACTACTCTAGTTATAGAGGAACCACGATAACTTTTTGTTTGATTTACTTATAACTTTTGTACTTTAAATATTCTGCTGATGCATACTCTAGCTTAGAATCTAAACTTGGTCAAATACAGAAGATGTTATTTTGAAAAAGCATAAGTTATCAGATACACAATTCAACCCCCTTCTTTTGTATTTTCTCACCTTCAATATCTTTCACGCTAATGATATATATCAAAGAAGTACCGGTCTTGTCGATTCGGATGATGCGAGCAAGTATAGTTAGGGGGCTGTGAAATATTGAGAACCCTCTCTACTTTAGATAATCATGCAATCGTGAGGGAGTCTAACACAAAATTAGATACTCTCTTTGGTTGGTTGGTTCTTATCATGGAATAAAGTAAAAGTATTGGTTATAGCTTCGGGGAATGATCTATTACTGTATACGAGTGCTTGTTTACTCGGATACATATGTGGTTAACTTCGATCGAATTTAAAGATAAGGTGTTGAAGTTCTTGAAGATTTCCCCTCACAGCTTTGTCCCATTTCTTAGGCTTTCATAAGGGATATCTAACTCTTGGATAATTACCACCTTTGGAAGCCCTCCTATTGACTATTTTCCAATATTTTTATTGTGGTGCATACTTCACAGAATAATATTAATGATCAAAGGTTCATCTCACAGTGTCGTGATGTTCTATAGTTTGGAACTTGCGTAGAGAACTGCAATAATTTATGAGATTGTTTTTTGTTGGTAAAACCATGTACTTTATAGGCTCACACCTAATTATTCTAGGTTCCAAGTAGCTTCCTTTTTCTTCTAGTTTCTGGGACTTGCCTCATAGTACATGTACATATAAGTTTTAAAAGAATTGGGCCTGGGCATATTTTAATGTGAGACTAGTGAGTATGCGGTCCCCTGGGAATATATAGATTAAGATGAAGAAAAACCTTGATGTTTTATATTAGGGTCTCGATTATGAAGATAGTTTTAGACCTTTCGAGGTAAAGCCTCCCGTTTAGAGCAAGTAGATGCTTGACACCCGTTCTATTGTGGGAGAATCATCCCTTCGCAGCTCCTTTTTATGTGAGTTGTTCTTGTTTGTGTAGATAAAATGTTTGTCTTGAAAAATATTCTTGATCTTGCCAAAGAGAGTGGGAGCCTAAAGATTTCGTCATGACTTCTTCGGCTCAACCCCCCCCCCCCTCCCCCCCCTCCCCCCCCCCCCCCCCCCCTCTGAATGAGTATGTCATCTCTGCCCCCACCAAAATTTCCTCTGGCTCTTTTGGCCAAGTTCAACCTTTTGTTAGGGATGCTTCCTTAAAGGTTGAAACTAGGTTGTGTCCTCTCCTATGCATATTAAGAGGGATTAGGACCAGGATTAGAGTCCTTCTCCATCAAAAGAAGCTTTTGTCGGACTTGTTGTAGCCAATGTCATACCATCTTCTGCTCTGCTTAAACTGTCGGCTATCCTTCTGTCTAGGATTCCTTGCACTTATCAGGAGGCGCTTGCTTCCCTTTCTGAGGCAGACCTTGCATATCTCCTGAATCTTCCGGAAGCAGAGAAGATGGAACTCTTTTTGAAGGAAACTTTTTATGCTTACCAAATGACTTCTTTGTTTTCCATGGCTGCTACTGGCCGAGGTGATGTTCTAGCCATGGGAAATTCCTCTAATTAAAGGGATACTTGGAAGGGTAAATGCAAATCAACTGAGCACGAGAGATCCCAAATCTAGAAAAATTGATGGCTCTTTAGGAAGAGGGGGCATGTTTGAGTCTTTTTAGGAGGAAGCAAAGGTTTATGGATCTCCTTTTTCTCTGGTTTCTAGGAATGAAGAGTGTCAGTATTCTCTAGAGGTGAAAAAGAAGTCTTGTGAAGAGTCTATCACTATTACACAGTAAAGACATCTTATACTAACATGCTTGTAGAGGATCTTTAGTAGGAGAGCGAGTCTCAAAAAAGGAGAGAGAGGCCAGTGAAGGGAAGTTGGCCAACTTAAGGAAGAAAGTCAACGAGACACTCGAACATACCCTAAAAAGGGTGTATGGTGCCTTCGACCAAGTATTCGACCAATTAGAGGCACTTTGTTTGGCGTTCAGGTTCTCCGTTTGCAAATTGACCCACATAGGGTGGTCTAAGATGGATCTTTGGTGGAGGATGACGGTGCTAAGCCACAGGACGATGATGCATCCTTTTGGGCTTACATATAAATTGTATTGGCCATTATCCCCCGATGTTTCCTGTAACATATACAAACAATAATATTTATTTATTTACCTATCTTTCCATGTATCTTAATGCTCACGGTATTTTTTTTAATATTCTCCGTAGTCTCCCTGTTATATCGGCAAGCTTAATCTCGACTCTATCTCTTAGCATTTAGGAAGCTTGTGATTTATGGCCTTACTATGCTTTGATTAATTTGATTATTTTAATTTGAATTTGTGCCATTTATGTTGTCCTACCTCAGGTTTTCCCTTGGGAAACAACTAGCAGAGCCTTTGGAACTTGTGGTCACTCGTCCCTTTGATGAGTGTTATTGTAACCATAAAGCTTTGTTGCTACCCGTCTTGGTCAATGGGAACTGGTGTAACGACTAAATTATTATTACACATCTTGTTCAAAGGGAGATAGCGCAATCACTAAGCTTTGTTGTTACCCATCCTATTCAATTAGAGCTGGAGTAAGTCTTCAGCGTTACTAGGAACCATTCCTAGACAAGGGTGAGGTTCCCGTCTCTTCCTTCTAATTTTTATCTCGATTCGAGGTGGACGTCTCCTGGGCATCACCGCCTACAATCTTTGAGTGGCTAGTTCTTAATAGGGAGTGCGCCAGTTGTGCTTTAGCGCATTCCGCTTAGTGGGATCATGTTTTACAAAGAGAACTTATGCCATATTGGCGAGTACTAGAAAGTTATTCATGCGGAAAGTATCTTGTTAGATAAAATATTCATTTGTTTTAATTTTCGGAGAGCCTCGAGTAATATTTATCTTGCACGGTCTGAGGATTTGCGCACGTTCCTTCGACCATCCATACTGAGGTGTTTACATGTGATCATTTGATAGTTGGATTGACTTCATTTTTCCTCTAATTAGGTTCATGCTAGAGAATTTTAGACACTTAGTCTCGGGGTTTCTAGGGCAAAAGTATTTATTTCTTGATGGGTCTATCCTTTCTACGTTGAACTGAGGGTTCGACTTCCAAAGGTTTTCGTATCTAGTGTTTTCCCTGAACTATGATCCAAAATTTCTTCGACTTTCTGCCTCTTTCAAGTATCAAAGTGAATTACATAGATTCTTTTCATATTTGATGATCGGCATATCACTGCCTCGTTACTTAAGTGATGCATGTTTTGATAGTTTAACTCGATTGGAAACTATTGGTAGTTACTTAACTGTTTTCTTCCAATGGTCTTTCCCTTCGACATGTACCCCTTCTTTCGTAGAAGGTTGACAAATTCGTTGGATGCATAGAGTTTTCCTCTTCCGATTCCTACCTCGATTTATGCGCTTGATATCTACCTTCATGTTCATTTCGCATTACGTTTGGATCAGTCAAACTTCTATTGTAGCTTGAGTATTCTAGAGTGGTACAATGTGTCATGATGATATGGATGAATTTCGAATTTGCTTCGAAAGTTCGCTTACTGTGTCGTGATAGCGTTGGTTCACGAATTCTTTCAATTTATTTTTTTGAAAGGGTGAGATGTGGCAATAGGAGATTGTCGTTGGTGCACTGATTCCATCTCGATTTCCTAATTGCAGTTATCAGAATCGATCGTTGGCTCGAGAGGTTCAGAGGAGTTGTCTTCCCTGAGGTTGGGGATAAATTCCTCTTATGATCCCATCGCGATCTATCTTTGGATCAAATGAGATTTGATCGTGGAGTTTCGTAGGGACCAAAAGTCGATTTCCACAAGCGACACCACTGTTCTATATTGGAACTAGAATTGTGATTGATTGATGATAATTGACTCCTGATGCAGTGATACTGATCTTCGATATGACAGTGCAGGGGTGAAACGACAAGATTAACTCTCCAAAATTTAAATAAGTTACAGAGTTCAAAATAAATACGAGGGTAGTGAAATTATAACATTAAAAAAAAAAAACTTAAGTCCCATGCATGTCAATTATATATGATAAATAATTTTGATTGGACTTTACATTATTAAACTTGATATTTTGAATCTTACCCTTAATCAAACTTTTGCCTTTCCATAATACTTTTAAACCACATATTAAAAAATAAGAGTAACTAAAAAATACCAACCAGCAGCATATAAAAAAACAATAATGTTTTCTGAAGTTGAGATTAGTTTTTGATAAGTAGAAGACAAATCTAAAGCATATATACTCTATAAAACTGAATGAAAATATTAATAATCCTCAAGGTCAAAGTAGAACTTTCCATAGGATGTAACAATAGAGAAGAAACCAAAAAATCAACAGTCAACTACACTTTTTAAATACAGAACATATAAAAAGGTAAAGAATAGAAGCACAAAAAACTCGTGTTTATTAAGAAACAATAGATAAATCATGTTTCAATTGCAGAGAAGAAGGTCCCACCACAACCAATTAGAGCCTCTTACTCTTCAATGAGTTGCAAGTACCTCTCTTTAACTTAACTTGTTCAATTATCTTCTTGAGTTCATTCTCAACCATGGCAAATACTGATGGTATCAGTAATCTTGACAGTAACAGTGCCAGTGATGATGGTTCTGTCAAGAGTTTTTTTGCTAACTGGTAACTCTTCTATAAACTCATATCATATCTTATGAGTATTTTTGGTTTTAATCCTTTGGTTTTAAGGAAAAGGGTCATAGTAATCTAGTGTTTGAATGATAGGTGAGGAATGATTATTTTGGTTAGAGTTTATGATTAGTGTTTGCTTATGTTCTAGGCTATGGAAACGTTTTAGTTTGAACTTGGAAGCATAGTTTGAATTCACTAAGTTAATCAGATCTGATAAAGTTGTTGCTAGCATATATGAACCATGTATGTATACTAGTACTTCTTCTAAGTGGTTCGCTAGAAATTTGATTCTTTTAAGATTTAGTTTATCTGATCTTGATAAAACGGTCTAGATGTGGTTGAATGCGTATAATCACCAGAGCCGTCTCAAGTTTTTAGAGTCTCGAGTTTTTAGAGACTTAACTGTAGTTTAACCATGACAAAATAAATATTGAATCATGACAATATTTTATGAGATCTTATTTACCTACGATTTTACTGTGATAAATTTTGAGTATAATGTGTTGTCGTCTGACTTACACACCCTCAAATACGAGGATCCTACAAAACTATGTTACCAACAAATGTAAAACTTATGTGTTTTCTCCCTTGTTGCTCTTCAGGCCAATGTCAACATGTGGACTGAATGCAAAAGGTCAATTTGCCATTGTCTATAATGGAAGTATGTGTGTATATGATGGAATTCCTGCAGAAAAGGTAAAATACCTATAGGAAGATTTCATTCAATCACCTTCACTAGTTCACTTCATCTATCATGGTTTTAACACAAGTCATTTGTTTATTCTATGCTTATTAACAACAGGTGCAAGAAATAATGTTGATGGCTGCTGCCACTGCTAAGTCTTCTGAAATGAAAATTGGAATTCCATTCACTTCACTCTTTTCCAGTGCCGCCCCTTCTTCTCCACAAGGAACTTCTAACAATGTGCCTTCTCCTCCATCAGTCTGTTTTCCTGCTGCTGACAAGAGTTCCATTTGCAGGATGCAAGGTACTAACTCCTTCATTATATTATTCGAGACAACTATATAGTACTCCGTAGCACCAACACTTCTGAGAAAAGGTGTGTCTGAAACCAACACCACCACTTATGAAAGTATCGTGTTTCTGATGTCTGTGTTTCATACATATAGTATCATTATATTGATGAATAATGTTTTGTGTTCAGAATTTCCATTAGCACGCAGACAGTCACTTCAAAGTTTTCTTGAGAAGAGAAGGATCAGGTATGTATATCATGTTTGAATTCAGTTTAGAATTTCCAATGTTGTAACTTTTTTGATTGAATCCATTTGTGTTTGATTCTTTAATAAAGGGTACGTGGCAAAGCACCTTATGCCTCTTCATCATCAAAAGCAGTTAACAACATTGACAACAACTTCAACACAGCATTGGTTCCTTCCACTTGAGGGCAAGCATATAGTGTTGGTGTCATCAAGTGGTATCATTATGTTATGTTATGTTATGGTTTCTACACCATATTAAAAGTCTAATTAATTTATTATTTATTATTATTGCTGAACCTTAATGTGTAACTGTTAGTAATGTCTAGCAAATATCTATTACTATGCTTAGAAACCAAAACACATATCTCTTAAACTGTTGTTAATGTATCTGTACAATTAATTATGTATTTTCCTTTGGATGTTAACCACTAATTCCAACTCACTGAAGAAAGTCTGACACACTTGTTACTCTACTTGTCGGTTGGTTCAAAATATTGATTATAAAATGCAGCACCAAATATCTCAATAATATATTGGAACGTGAATTTCATGCTACTTATAGGTATGCTTTCATAAACCCCACAAAAATAAATGTTTGAAAGATACTATATGATGTGTGAGACATTTAAATATGTCTGAGTTTGACTATATCAGCAAAGTTAAGATTCTTAATCATTACAATTCAAAAGTATTAGAAAGTTATATAAAACACGTAAACAACAATGCTATGGTTTTCACAGTTGTTTCTTATATCGTAATGACATCTCTAAACTAAAACGTTTTCATATTATTTTTGTTTTTTAATTTAAAATTAATTGTATATAATGACGGTTATTGAGTCAACTGTGGTGAAATAGTTAAGTTGTCATGGATTCGAACTTTAGCGTCATCATATATATTATTTCATTAACATTAATGCGTGTCTTTTCTTTTTTATTTATTTTTAAATAAAAATATTTAAAGGGTTATGACTACGGTTGTTTCGTTTCACCCATTGTGATTTTATTTAATTTGTATTTTTATTAAAAAAATTTAATGGTAAATTAAACTCTGACGCTTCTTTATGAAATTTCATATATATAAAAGTAATATATCATAACGGTTTCTGGGTTTGGCCGTGGTGGTATTCTTATAATATTATACTCTTCTAGTTAGCTTGTCTCTTCAGTATCATTTTTCCATTGAAAAAAGAAACTAGACGAAACAATACATGATTTCAACCCTTAACCCTAACGTTCGTACTGTGAAACAATACACCATCGTTCACCCTAGTTTGTCTCTTCAGTATCCATTATTCACTTTTTATTCGTCCTTTTCGTCATCATCGTCAAGAAGTTTGACAAGACCATCACGATCGTCATCGCCATCAAGAAGGAAGTGTACAACAACACCGTCGAGAAGGAAGACGACAACAACATTGTCGTTGCCGTAACGAAGGAAGAAGGAAAACGACAACGACACCAACCTCATTTACTTAGTCATCACGTTTAGGATACGTAAAATATTTTCCCCATGCATCTACAGTAAACTTCATTTGTCATTGTTGTTGTTGTTTATGTTATTGATGTTCATGTTGTTGTTGTTGATTTTGAACATAGATGTCACAAAGAAAAAAGATGTGACAAAGAAAAAAGATGTCACAAAGAAAAGAGATGTCACAAAGAGAATAAACCCTATCGAGTTGTTCATCAGATTGTAGCGAAGAAACTGAAACAAATGAGTGTTGTGCGAATGAAACTCAAACCGATGGTTCTCAATCAAAAAGATCACAAAGAGGTGTCACAATGATGCTCCAATTCACATCAGTCTACAACTCATCATGTGAAAAAATTTTGACCAAATTTGATTCGTACTACAGAGTAGTTGATTGTGAATACTACTAAACTCTTAAGAGTTATGTTGCGTTCCTTGGACGGGGCAAAGTAAGTATATTGATAGATGATTGGAAATTAGTGGATGCGAAAGTCAAAGAAAGCATATGGACCGACGTTAAGGTATTACATACTAATATTTTCATATATTAGATATGACTACCTATAATTTCTAATACATTGATTTAAATGTAGTTGAATTTTGAGTTTACCGATGACTCAAAGTTCCAAAAAAAGTGGATCTCTTATGCCAGTACTCGTTGGAGGGGATTTAAGTTACAACTCACAACTGACTATATTAGGAAGCCTAAGAGCGGTCTTGCTCTTCCATGGGAAATATATAGCTTTATATCAAAGAAGCAATGGAAGAAGTTTGTGAGGATACGTCATTCTGAGGAATTTAGGGTTAGTACCAGTTTTATTTAACCGATAATGTTATGATAATGAGTTACAGATACTAATCATATATATTTTTCACTATATTAATAACTGCTTAAAAGCGAAGTAGGAATACGAAACAAGGCAAAGAACGTGTACCCCCGTAGATTGTCTCGTGGGGATTACAGGAAACTTGAGAAAAGAATAATGCTTGAAAAATACGCACAAACAGGAGATGATCGCATCCCATCCCCACCGTCGAGACATGAAAAATAGAAGAGGGCTCGATTAAGACCAAATGGAGAGTACACCTCTGAGGCAACAAGAGTAGTTGCCGAGAAAATTTGAAGTATGATTTATTTTGCTTATGTTATTTGTTATTTAAATGAGTTGGTAACAATATACATAAGTGTTCATGTTGTGTAGAATAATTTGGTTTAGGCGGCTCGTGAAGGCACGTTTGTTCCAGAAGCACGACACGACATATTAGTATAAGCAATCGGAACAGAGGAGCATGATGGGCGTGTCTGTGGTGTTGGAGAAGGTGTTGGCTTGAGGTTATTCTTTAGGTCTCAAAGAAAAAGTATCGAAAGCTCAGAATTAAATGCACAAAAATAAAAGATTGAGTCTTTTGAGAAGCAATTAGAAGAACAAAAGAGATTGTTTGAAGAGGAGAGGGAAAAAGGGAGAAAGACGTGCAAATGTTTCAAGAGTTATATTCGGTATGTGCTTTACTTGAGATTTTAGTGTTTTATCGGAAATGTATGAAATATATATATATATATTGTGCGTATTTTTTATCTAACTAAATATTATGATGTAGAGATTAAGTGAAAATCTCAAACAACGTACAAACGAAGATCAATGTTATATTGATGGTGATGATGATCGTGATCATGATCAAACTCCAAGTAGAAGTGTTGTATGCCGTACTTCTACAAAAGGAAGTAATTGTTCATCATCTTCCCCCCTCCGGATAACCGCAATGAGTTATTGGATCCTAACTCAAATGAAATCACCATATTATACTTGTAAGTTACGGTGATGATTGATGTGCAACCTCTCCTGCTAGAACATTGTCCATATGTGGAATTATTCTATTACAATCTTGAAGATGTAAGGGATTTTCTCGGTGGATTTAAGTGTCTGGATGTAGAGATTTTGCATGTTCGGTGCATGTAAGTATATAGTTGAATATATACATTATCATAATTTGTATTTCCTCAATTAACTTATTCATTTTCTTTAACCATTTAGGTACATCCACCGTGTTTTTATAGAGTTGAATAAATTGAGTGTTTATGGAATCTTGAATCCGCTTTTTACTCGATGGGCGTATAATGAACCAAAAGACATTCAAGAGTACTTAAAAAAACTTTTAAATGAGGGAGGAAAAGAATATTACTTGGCACCATTTATCTGTTCGTAAGTATTTTTGTAATTGATGTTTATGTATTCTATATTCAGTTTTTTTAGAAAATACTAATAATATATATGCTCATGTTTATTCAGTGGTCATTATCAATTGATCATAATATCATTTAGGACGAATACGATAATTGTATTGTGTTTCTTGCATGATCCACTAAACAAGACAATGAAAGATATTATTAATTTGTAAGTGTATGTTTAATTCATTTTCTTTGATATTGTAATTAGTTTAGCATGTAATATGTTTAATTCATATTTAATGTACAGTATTGTGGAGCAATTGAATATGATGAACAATGTTAGAAGAAAGCCCTCATAGATCACTCTTAAAGTAAGTGGCCCGATTACCTGTTTCTTTCATTTACATTCATGTGTGGTTACATTTATTTGTAGACGAGGAAACAACCAGGGACATACGAGTGTGAGTATTATGTCATGAAACACATGTTAAACATTGTCCTTGCCGACATTGTTGATTCATGGGATAAGGTATATATGTCATAATATGTTTACATATATTAATATATAAGTTGACATATATTTTAAACACTTTTTTGCTCTCTCTTAAGTAGATGTTAAACAACGTAACCCCATTCCCCATTGAGGACTTTGTCGATCTTCATAGGCATTGACCGTTTATCTATAATGTGCTTAAGGGTCCTTCTATTTGATTTATTGAGATGTGCTAATGACTTATTAATTTCTGTAAATGATGATGTGAATATTACTTTGACCTACGCATATTGTCTTTGATGTAAATATTAATCTTGGCTTTTGATGCATATTGTTAGCTATTTTTTATGCTCTTTCTGCATGGTTAACAAAAATACGAGTTGTTGTAAATTATCTTATATGGTTGTAATAGTTACAGGATAAAAAATTGGAAGAATAGTTGGATTAAATAACCGTTGTGATATGGCACACACTTTGTAGAATACTACAACGGTCACTTGACCATGATTGTAAGTATCATATATTCAACGACATTCTACATAACAATTTTTGGGCCCGTGTTGTTATATATATTTTTTTAACCGTTGTTAAATGGGTTTTTCGTAGTAGTGTTGTATATTAGTAATCCAACTAAAGTTTGTCCTACAAATTTAAAATTTTAATATAAGATAATTGATCTCTTCCACCTGTCCCAACTCTGGCAAACTATGTGATAGTTGGTAAACTATGGGTTGAATCATGTGTTTATAAGTCATTCAATTTAAAGACAAAAACAATATTTGGTTCAGTTTAGTTTTGGTCTTTTGGTTAAATAACTAAATAATTTAATCCAAACATGCATTCAATTATACATAGTTTGAATAAGTTCATTAATTTAAAATTTTCACAAGCAATGTGTAAATATTGTAAAAGATTAATTGTTATGTATTGAGAGCATAATTTTTTTTACTCGCACATAAGTGTATCTTAAAAGTTATGTAATGGAACTAGGAAGCAGGATGGTAGAGAGATTTTTTTGTGGGCCGGTGAATGCTTCTGATACGACAGAAT